GAAGGTTATGATGCTCATCATTGATGGGTCCAATGGCTGAAAATCGGTTACTAAGAGGTTGGTCTATATTCGCTCAAGCTGCGTACTTTTCGAGATCATTCACTCTAAGACATTTTTATTTATTATCACACTGTTTGCAGAGTAAGTCCAAGCTTATTATGGAAGATAGTCAAAGTTAGGCTCTTCACTGCGCAAATAACTTAAGGATCTCAATTTACACGAAGGCAATTGTTCGCTTTTCTTCTTTAATTGTTCACTGACAATGAAGGTCATTTCTTAATACTATCTCTGATCAAGCTTCAAAGTTGCTTGTACCTTATCAAGTTCATTAATAGAATGGATTTGCCAAAATAATCAACGGTCATTTTAACAGGACATCCAGTCGGGGGCTATTCCTCTCCGTTTATTTACTGTCTTGAGCTCACAGTAATTTTATATCTCATCGCTGCAGATGAATCCGTCAGCGACAAAATCTGCGGAAACGAGAAGGGAAAGTCCTCTACCGTGAAGGAGATATCAGTGCAACCCTCGCAGAAGATGGAAGAAGGAGTAAACCATGTTTCTGCCGTCGTCTCTACCTCTGCCACTCCTGCTACCTCAAGTCCTTCAACAATGAGGCTCTCCTCCTCCTGTCCTCTCACTGAGAAGATGTCCTGGGCCATCAGCGATCGAAGTTTGCAGGTTCTTGCTTTGTCCCATCATTTTACTCGCTAAAACCACTATTCACCCTCCACTTGCCAGCTTAATTTGCATCGTAAAATTTTTTTAGGGTTTGGACGATTGTAACTCTTCTTACCTATATCGGATTTATTCCATCATGATGGTTCAGGCCTTCCCCTAGACTTTAATAAGTCATCACCACGATATTTCAGGAGCGCTGTAAGGGTGGCCAGAGAAAGGGCATTATTGATTTGTAGAAGAATCGGCGGCGCCACTGCAAGAACCCTGCCCATAAATGCACTTAAAGAGCTTACCAGGCCACTACATTGTAAACTTAAAATAAATACTTGCGAACGACAAGTGAAACTTTTATGTGAAATTCGGGTCCTGTCAATGAAAAAATTAGGACTTAAAGCAGTGTGCAGTTGTATGTACTGGCGGTTGAAACGATTAGTGAGAAAAGTTATCTGATCCCAAGACTTGAGATTTCTGATCGGCTTATGCAAAATGCGTCTAGACACTATTAAAACGCTCCATTCGAGACGTTCTCTCCTATAGATTCTTCTTCTCTCCTGTTAAACGGCCGATCTCAATGACGACTTTAAAAATCCCTTAACTATGTTCAACGTCTGAGTGATACATAACCATTATGTAAATATGTGACTCTTGAACTTCCGCTATTTATATTAATGAAAATTCGGGAAATGTACATTTCGCTTAGTTAGGACTTGAACTATACTGCCGTTTCTATCCGCCCCGTGGTCACAGGGAGTCCGGTTCATTAATATAGCTACTCTTATTTCTGCGGCAGAATGCTAGCCACCTAAAGGACATAAGCAGGACTGCAAGACCACTGATGTAGTCTCAAACCTATATCGCCTGGCGGAGATATAAGGTACTTCTACTTGCTTTCCTCAGCTTCAAGGCCTTGGGCAAGGGGAACTGGATTGAGAAGGACAGCTCCTGTTTATGCAATAACAGAGATGGGAGCGTTTCGAGTGAGGGGTAAATAGGGGGACGGAGAAAAAGAAGGAAGAATCAGTGTTCTTCCCCACTCTGGCAACTGCCAAAGTCTGATCAATTATAAAGTTTGCAGGAACTGTCCACTTGCCATCGAAGAGGCCTGTTTGAACAAGCTCGCACCGTGATTTATTCTCTTGTATTTTCCCTTGCTTTTACACTTAAACGAAGTGTTTTAAGCAGACATCAATATATATGAAGGTCTGTGACCATGAACCGTTTTCCAAGTAAATGGGTGAGTCCATAGGTGACTATTATGCATTAGTTCCGGTGGTTGAGTAATAAAAAAGAATGTTCATCTTCCAGGTGGACTGCCAAATGGAGTTTTTTCCGCGTTACGTACAGAAACCACCAGCGATGTACACGTTCCTTTGTGACCAGGATATTCCACGTCGTGCCTATGCGCGTCACACCCTGTTACACTCGGAGGCGGTGGTTCAAGTCGACTACTGGCTGGAGCAGCGCTGTCCTCTTGCTTACCTTGGCTGCCCTTTCTCGGTAGTGCGCCTAAGACCTAACTCACCAGCTGCTAACCTAGCTTACATGCCCACCGTAAACGCCTTTACCGTACGTTACACCTCCGCTAATACCTCCGATTCGAGTACTTCACTCTCCGCTACAAGCAAGATGACGTCAACCTACCCCCTTGACACCACCTCTACTAGTAGCACTGCCATCCATGCTAACTCCGGAATCGCTTCCGTAGGTCTATCACCTACAACTGTCGCCACAGTCTGCCGTCTTGAACAACTGCCTCTTCAAGTTCTTAAGCGAATAATTAACATGCTCGACGAGGTAAGTCATTCGGGGTTTTAAAATCCTATCACTCTGTCTATAGTAGGCCTAAATTTCTTGAACATTTCATGGTGAGGACTTTTGCATGGCTCAGACGACCGAATAAAGTCGATTTTGAATCAACAAAATAACTTGCCTTAATCAGTGCTAATTCTAAGTTCTTCGCTCTCTATACCATGGCGATTCTAGCAAGTAGTGGGCAACCACTCTACTTCTCTATTTAGGAATGTGGATTCCTTTTGAATTTTATCTTTACCAATTTTTAGGTAGATCAATTTATTTAGACCCTTGATCTAGTGGGAAGCGGGTTTGGCTTCAAGTAAAGCTGTATTTGAGGATCTCACTCGGATAAAAACATTAACAATTTTTTTTGCCCCAAGTTATATGACTTCGTTGAATTGACTCGTTGAGATACGCTCTGCAAATCTACTCCCTCCGAATTTCAAGTAGCAAGTTATGCGGAAAGATTTAGTGACTTTGGAACGAGAATTTGTGCATATAAAGCAAAAATGTTG